GATAAATTCAGGAAGAACGAGAAGTTCCTATGTTCATGATTTCAAGCATATGATTCCCTTTCTGTAGATCTGCCACATTGCAGACCAATTTTATATTTAAACCATCAACTGCCAGAGTGTTCACAATGTTCAGTAACATTCTCAAAGAGATCTAGACACGGCAAATTTATACAAAGCAATCCTTAAACTATCTATGGATATTGGTGCTCTCCACAGGGCCTTTATCCCAGCATCTCAGCACTGCCCAGGCCAATGTCATGTGCATAGCAAGGTCCCTGCAGCACTGAAGGGAGCTTTCAGCTTTTCTCTCCTCACCGCTGTGGCCGGCCGTGGTTAGGACATCACCCCATCCTTAGTCACTTTTTCTCCTGTCCTAGTCATTTGGAGAAAACTCACTTGCATGAGAGATGTCACCGAGCCTCCCTCAAGGTGGTCCATCGCTGGATTAGACCAGTCTCCTCTGGGAGCTCATTCCACAACCAAGAGTGTTTTATTTCCAGCTCTCACGTAAAATATGCATGCGCAATACATGCTGCTGAGCATGCAATAGGTTAAACAAATTGATGATAAAGTCTTCTACTTAGTTATTTTTCATTACCATAAGAAAACATCAATTACATTTTCTATTTTATGAGTGTACACAAGGGAATCCATTACAGTAACGGAGAGGTTATATGACTGGTTTTTGCTGCTTCTTTCCTAAGCAAAAAGAACAGTTAGTTTTTAAAGACAATGAAACCAACCCAGAGAAAAGGAAGGCACACCAGCATATCTGCGTAGACAGTTCCTATCCTGATTTATCCAGCCTGATTCCAACTAATTAAACATCTGCCTCAACAATTTCCTCTGCAGATTTATCTTCTCCAGTATGTAGCACTGACTGGTTGTTACAGGCTTCTCCCTAACTTGCAGCCATTCCCATGTACTTCTTCCAGTTGGTTATTTGGGCACGTGGCAAGAGATGACACAGTATTCCCACTGATCCCCTGCTGCTGCCTGCCGTGGGACAGGTCACTGGGCTCCCAAAGCACTGCTTCGGTACAACCATGTCCTCTATGAAATGACCTAAGGGCTGCAGTTCTCTCAGCTATAACACATACAGGTTATTTTATCACCTGCATTAATCACAGATAAATATTTCCTGTTGATTGACTTAAAAATTACTATTTCAAAACGGTCAGAGTTCATACGTCTAAGGCAAAAGCCTTGTGAAATTAAGAAAGGAAAAATGCAAGGAATATGAAATAGTTTGGATAGTTTGTAATAATTTTATCTAACATAATATCTAAGTAGAGCTAGGCACAATCAGAATATTGCTTCCATTTTTTTATGTTGCTTTCTATGACACAAAGGTCGTACCCCACTTCTATCTCCTTCTACTGACCTGTATCTTCCCACAACAAATAATCTTTGGCTTGAAGTTAAATTGCAGCCAAGAGTCTTCATTCAGCTTTAGTCTTTTCAACAAAAGGGATTCTGAAATAAACACATCAGTATTTTTTACAGATGGAGTTCACCCTACAGCTACTTGAATGCTGGTGCACGTGCTGAACAGAACGTGTGGAAGCCTGGGCTCTGTGCGACCCTTTGTCAAGAGAAACTTTGTGTGTCATCACCAGCTTTGTGCTCCAGGAGGCAAGCCAGGGTTGGTAGCTGCACGAATGGTCATAGCACTTCTGTTCAAAAGTCAACAATAGAGAAGCGCAGAAGGTCATCAACTCTCAGAGGTGACCCAGGTGTATGGATTTTCAGGAACTTGCGACTCAATTGCTTGTGGAAAAACCTACTTGTAAGCTGCAGACTACTGGCTGAATAAAATAATTGGAGAAAACTAGTCTAGTATTTTAGCCCTGGTCATGTTGGAACATATCCTTCCTGACTAGACAACAGAAATTTTCCAATTTCTTCCTCACCCAAAAGAGCCAACCTAGGTTTGCACTTTCCTACAAACATAAGACCAATCTGAAAAAGGTCACCTAAGTCAGTGGTGAAATTAGGTCAAAAAGCAGTTTCTTATACAAATACTTGAAAACAGCATAAGCTGTAAACATAATAAATTCATTTGTCCTGTGAAGACTGGTCTGGAGGCACACTGAAAACGTGCAGAAAAGTTCATAGGTATTTCAGTTTTATCAAACTATTACAAACGCTTTAAATAAACATGTTAAGTCTATATTTGGTTAGTACTTTTTAAAAATCAGAACAATCAACTTAAAAGGAAGCATTGCTGAGGAAATGCTTTTCCTAAATTATGTCTTATCTTTTATTCAGAACCTTGACACCCTAATCCACTGCTTAATAATGACTTGAACTCCAATGGCACAGGACCGTACTGTGCTAATAGTCTGATCTTAAATTCCATTTATCCGTGCATCTCCCAATGAAAGTAAGAGGCACATCCACTCCAAACATGAAGAATCTGCTGGTAGATGAAGAATGATGACAAAATCTTTTTTCTAGTCCTGCTCCAGTCTCTCCGTGCCCACTGCAGTGGCATCCTGAGTTTTACGCATCCTTTAGCCCGGGCAGCATTCCCACCCAGCTCTGCTCACGGCAGCAGAAGGGGACTGGGAGGCTCCTTTTGGATCCAGAGGGCAGCGAAGCAGGAGGATCCCTCTGTGCAGACAGCTGCAATCTCTGCTGTTCTAAAGATGACAGGCAAGACCCTCCAAACCCCCCTACCCCCCAAAGTCTGCTGACTGCTGAACTGCAGCTTTGGTACAGCAAGTAACTGGGAATAAGTGAAGTTTTGGATAAGGGAAGATAATTTTAGTAAAAAAGTTTAATTAATGGTTTACCAATTTAATACATAAATACCTAATCTGAGAAGTCCCTTCACCCATGTGAAGGGGTGAATTTCACACAATTTCAATAAGGCATTATGAGTGCTCACCAACATTTAAAAAATAAAACAAAAAAAAGAATATTTCATTTATGAAATTCAGTAATATGGGAATTCAAGCAGAAATCTAAAAATGATCATTCTTCCCACAGTGACTCCAATTCATGAAGCTTACAACTGCAGGTCCTAATTCTGGATGTATCTATGCACAAGCTTAAACTGAAATCTGCAAGCAACACCGACTATTTCAAGAAATCCAATCACACGTTCAAAAGTAAATATACCTATAAGTAACCAGAAGGTTTTCAGTCGTGACTTCTACTGTGGTTATATCCACAGCAGGGATGATGGTCATATCTGAAAGAAGTGAGCTGTCACATGGATAATTTATAAAAAGTAAATTTAAATGATTTCTTACATAATTAAAAAAACCCCAAATGAAACGTACATCCTTATATACCCTGTTACTACAAAGGCTTGTGAGCAGGAGTGCCAAGACAGTAGAAATGAATGTATTAGCTGAAGGAATAAATGACAGGTCCATTCCATTTCTAAACTACTGAGCAAAAGTAACAAAATAAAAGGAAAAACACATTTCAAATGGACAAAGAGTAAAACATCCATTACACGGAGGAGGAAAGTAGTTTAAAGACCGAGCTAAGTGTATCCTTTAGCCACCTCCCTTCAGGGAAGAGAAATCTGACCCCAGGAAATAAATAAAAGTCACCCAAAAAGTGAACAAAAGAGGTGTTTGAAAAAAACAGAACACCATTCATCGCAGCTAACGACTTGTTCATTATGAGTGATGATGGATAAAGACTTCTCACGCTGAGATGAAATCAAGATTTATATGCATTGTTTCCTCTCCCAACTTGTGGGAAGATCATCATCATTTAATTCTATCTCTGCGGCCAGTGATGGGCATCCAGAGAGCTGGTTATCAAACGGTGCAGTCAGCTGGCAAAAGCCGGAACGTGCAGTTGGCACATCTGGACTGAGCCGCCACAGCCGAGGGTGAACAATGACTCCTGGCCAGCGGCCAAATTGCTGCAGACGCTGGCGGGTCTCATCTACAACCACCCCTACACCAGCATCTCTCTCTCTCCTCCCTCCCCCCCCCCCCCCCCCCTTTTTTTTTTTTTTTTTTTACGAGAATCAGATTTTCATTGCTTCATTCAATTGCTCTCCTCTGCCATTTTTTACAGCTCTTATCGTTCCCTTGGAATATGGCCTTGAGACAGCTCATCCGTGTCCTTCACTGTGTTATCTCTTCTAACTTTTATTAAAACTTCAGCTCTCATCTGAAGATAGCTAATTAAATCCATGACAGATTATACACTCGTTTAAAAACTGCACTGAACTACTTTTTCTAAAGAGAACAGGGTTTATTTTCTTTTCCCATAGTTAAAACTAAGGGTATATAAGGAGGTTTCATTCATTTACAAAGACAAGATCCTTATCTTTACCTAGTATATAGATAGGTTTATATTAAAGTTCCTTTGTTGTGTGACAAGACTCAGTGCAATTTCTCACAGTAATTATTTCTTGTTGCTGGAAAGATCTCTTAGCCTTATACTTTTGAAATATATATAACAACATATATGTGAATGGACATTTACACCCTGGAAAACCGTTGCTCTAAAATATAAATGCAAGTACTGTACATTTTCTTTTTTTTAAATCTTTATACGACTTAACTATAACAGTACTACTTTGGCAACATTGCAGAAAGTAAATTTTTCTTTTTCTCTACAAGTAACGATGAATCCTTTAAATTATTTAAAATCACACTAAGCATCATTTTCTTACATAAATTAGAAGTATACAAATTCTATCAAGGACTGGTCTTACTGTACTTCCACCTATCATCTCAAATTACCACTAGCTGGACTTGAATGCAAATGGCTTTGTTATCATAAATAAATATTTGCAGTAATGGATATACTGCTCTGCAGCAAACATTATGCAGCTCCTCCGCTGTCTGCTTTTTGCCAGTATCCAGAACACAAACCTGTGCACAGAACTGCTTCTGAGTGGTGCTGAAAATCACAATACCCAACGAAAAAAACTGAGCATCCTTCACAACAGTTAAAAAGAGATACAAAATATGCTCATGGAAAAACACCCTACCCTCTAGAAAATACGATAAATAACCCACCTGAGCCTCTCTGTGATCCCTTCCTTCTCTTTAAGGCTTTTTGTAAGATATCCTTCATGGTGACCTTCATACTGTCCACCTGAATAAGTGAGAATCCATGAGCAGCATTTCTGCAAGACAGATGCACATGCATTTTTACAAAATCATCATCATCAGGCAGCTCACTGCAATTTCCATTAGTTTCAAGCAAAGGACTTGTGAGGCACAACAATTAACCAAGTTGTGCTATAACAGGGAGTTAAAAGGAGAAACTGAGCAAACTCCCTTAGAAAGGCAGAGAAAAAAATGGAGAAAATGGATTGAGATTCAAGGTGCGTAAGGATTTTCCTAATTTATCTTTATTTTTGATCAATTTGCGTTCACCATTAAAAACGAAAAATGAGCAAATGTACCTGCGGAGCTCCTCAACTGCTCATTATTAAGTATCTGCTAGGCGTTTCACAGTGCATAGCAGAGAAACAGTTTGCAATGTCATTTTCGTACATGTCCTGATGGTAAACGTAACAAATCATTAAGGAGAAGTGGAAGAACAACACTCAGAGGCATAAGAGCAGCTTTTCAGCACTATTAATGTACAGCATTGTTTCAAACATAAGCAATGTGCTTTCTTTGGACACGTTTTTGTGAACATCAGGCACAAAATCTCACGGAAAGGTGTACGACAGCAGGGTGCTTGTCCTGGCCATTGCCCGCAGGAGAGACCACACCTGGGGGATACACTGCGAACAGCACGGGGATGGTTACGGAAGCTACCGCCAGCCAAATATTGAAAGTGGCATCACCAGGGAAGCAGAGAAGATGACAATATAATAGAAGAGATACTGGATTAATAGATCAGTAAATTTTGCCCCTTAGACCTTGCAGTCAATCTCTGCTGGTGTCAGTAGATGTCACTGCAGACAGTTAGCACGGAAATTTCAGAGCTGCTGGGCACCCGCAGGGAGCGATTTGCACTGCGTGGAAAAAAACTGTTTTGCAAAGCTATTTAGACAGGAGGAGGAGCTTTGTATCTGGCAACTAGGAATTTTAATCAGGGAGTAGAGCTCTCTATGAATATCACAGCTGGAATATTTTTAAAAGCAACTGGCAGTCAAAAGCAATCCAAGCAACACAATTACATCATTAAAAACAAGACCATATTACATGTCACTTGAAGACATAAACGCTGGGAACGCAAGTTTAAGTTCAGATCACTTCAGATGTGGCATCCCTAGCCCACATCCCTAGCTGTGACACAGCCTAGGTGAATAACTGACATCTTCAAGCCCTCACCGCACATTAACACTTACTCCTGGTCACTGGCTGCAGCGCAGCCGCGGTGGCCAGTGACCTCCCCACCTGGGCCC